TTCTGAGCTGTGCTTCACCTGTTGGATGTGTGCTGTGGGCTTGGGAGGAGTTCCTGGACATCACAGAAATGGTGCCCCTTGAGCAGTGCCCTGCAGTTCCAAATGTCCCTGACTCCTGCAGATGCTCAGGAGAGGAGCCTGCACAGCCTGGGAGTCCTCACACCCTGCAGGGGCTCTACCCACGACCATGGCACGGCAGGAGCAGAGGGAGATGCCAGGCTGGGGTTCCTTACACCCTGCAGGGACTCTGCCCATGACCATGGCATGGCAGGAGCAGAGGGAGATGCCAGGCTGGGGTTCCTCACACCCTGCAGGGGCTCTACCCACGACCATGGCACAGCAGGAGCAGAGGGAGATGCCAGGCTGGGGTTCCTCACACCCTGCAGGGGCTCTACCCACGACCATGGCACGGCAGGAGCAGAGGGAGATGCCAGGCTGGGGTTCCTCACACCCTGCAGGGGCTCTACCCACGACCATGGCACGGCAGGAGCAGAGGGAGATGCCAGGCTGGGGTTCCTCACACCCTGCAGGGACTCTGCCCATGACCATGGCATGGCAGGAGCAGAGGGAGATGTCAGTCTGACACTCTGCTGGGGGAAGTTTTTAGCTGATGTGCAGGATATCAGTAGGATAATCAATATGAGGTCCCAGGATCCAGTACTGGGGACCTCACCCCAACATGGGTTGGGAGGTCTTGGAGAAGAATAAGAAAATCTGGAGTTCAGAAAAACCACCTGTGATCAATGAACTGAGACAAGAACTCTGATTTCAGACTCGCTCACATTTTCCAAAACACTGTCATGTGTCATGGCAGATGCTGTGGGGAAGGTGCAGGGGATGGATGGGACCAGAGCAGCATTTGGATTCATCCATTGTGCCAAGGAATGCAAGACCACAAAAGGTTTTCTGTGTTTGTGTAATTAAGGCAGGGTTGTAAAATACTCAGACCTATTTGCTGAATTGTTTGCAAAGTTAGTTTAGTTTCTTACCAGATAGCTGCTAAGGGGTGGTGAGGGAAAGGGCAGGCTGTGATGATGGTTTGGGGTTTTGTTGCAGTTAGATTGCCATTCAAGTAGCAATTTTATATATATTTTAATAGAAATATTTTTAATATATATATATACAGAGAGAAAATGGTGTTTTAAAAGAAAACAGGAGATATTTATGTAATGTTGGCTTTGTTTCCACTCATTTATACATCTTCCTTTTAGACTGTGCATCCCTCTCTGGTATAGTGGGAAAAAACAGAAGGGAGGAATTTCCTGATTTAAGATAAGTCCTGTGTGCTCTCCCAGGAGTGCCATGTCCCCCAGCAGGGCTGTCTGTGCTGGCAAACTGAATCAGGTGTATTTGTCTTTCTGGAGAGGCATTTGCCTCCAAAGTCTGGCAGCTCCCCTTCAGTGCAGGGGCTCTCTCTGAGCTCTGTTATCAGCTCTGAAATAGCCAGTTTTGCTCTTTGGTTATCTTCATGTCCTGACCATGAATGGGGCAATTCCACTTGCCAGACATTTCAGCTTGCTGCCCCATTTCTGCAGACATCACTTGATTTGCATTTTTGATTATTATTTTCCATGCTGCATATATGAATGTGCTCCTTAAAATCACTTGGAAGGGTTTAACTTCCCTGTACCCCAGACAGTATTTTCAATTAATAATGTAAAAAGTGCTGGTAGAACCTTTGCCCTTTCATGGCTTAGTTTTACTTACATCTTCAAAAGTTTGGATGATTTAAGTGTATTTCTGCTGTCTTTGCATCTTTAATGGAAATTTGTCAACACCAGCCTGTGATTGTGCATGGGGTTTTTTATCATTTAAAACCATGGGGTTTTTTATCATTTAAAATGTCATGTTAAGTTGTGTCTTCATCACATGCAGGTTCTGATGGTCACCATCTTCCCACAAAGTCATTTTTGGGGATGCCCTGTTTCCCCCAGCCTCTCTAAAGCTCAGGGCACCACTGATGTCTCTGGCTACTGAAACTTAAAAATTTCCCAGGTTCTGCAATGACCTTGTCACTGGTGATGCTCTTGATCTCTCCAGCTCTTCCATCACTTCATTTTTGAAGCTTTGGAGCTTTTACTTCACGTCTTATATTGGATGCAGGCTGTTAGAAAACAAACCCCTTTAGTATAGCAAAGTTTACCTGGAATGTATTGAAATAATTTCATCAATAAATGGTGGCCATGGAGTTTTCAGGTTGTTCTGTCATACAGTTTTATATTTATATGGACAAAATGGTCCTTTCCTCCTTAAACACAAATGTGAAAACATCCAGTGAATATTACTTTTAAGAAACTGGATTGCTTTTAAGTTAGTGTTATTCTTCAGAGCAGTCTGGGGTTAAAAAAGCACAGCAAGTTTTAAAGAAATAAGCTTTCAGTGTATTGTTTTCATTGGAAATGTTCAATTGCTGCTTTGGAAATTTAATGTATATTTTTCAGATATCCTGAATTTGTGTCTTTGTCTTGTGAGGAACTTGAGAGAAATGAATACAGACAAATTATTTCATAAACCATGTGAAATGGCTGTGGATTGACAGTTAAATCTGGAATAGTGAATACAGTCAATTTTCCCCTTTGTTCTGTCAGCAGTCACTTGTACTCTAAATGTCTATTTAATTTTTTTAAGTAGATTAACGGGAAATGTTTGCATTATTTGATTATTGAATTTACTGTCCCAAATAATGGATCTTTTCCTCAAATATTTATGTGATCTTGAAAATGTTTTTCCAGAAGGGAAAAATGCTAAAAATGAATAGGGAACATATTTTGAGTTATTTGTAGTACATGTACATAATGCCTCGCCTGAAATCACTGTACACTTGCCTTTTGGTGGGGAAAAAAAGCAGTTTGTCATCTGTACTGCCTTCCAAAATTAGATTCAGATAATCCCACCTTTTGGAGTAAATGAGCAGCAGATTGGTCTTAAAAATGAAATTCAAGTAAGCTCTTGGTGAGTGATATAAAAAATAAATAAGCTAATATGTGAGCAACAGAGAGCATCTCAGTGATAGATGATAACACAGATTACCTTTGTTGTGTCCATAATTAGGCTGGGCAGGGAAAGGAGAAGGGAGAAGGTGGCATTAGGAAATGCTTTTGTTTAGTCCTGTGTGGTTGGGTTTGGTTTTTGGGGTTTTTTTTATTATTTTGTCCTTTTTTCCCCCCTCTGTGTGTGTGTGGCTCACCGTGCACAGATGAGGAATTGTATAGGAAATTTGCAGCTGCTCCAGTTATTCAGTAGGATTTGTATAAGCTGGCACAAGGGACAAAATTAGAGGGAAGTTGAACGAGTGCTGTGCAGTTTATTAGCTAGGCAGCCATAATTTTGACCTTGCTGTGGGTTAAAGGACACAGACCTGAGAAGAAATATGTTTATCATGTGGGGAATTCATGCCATCCCTGACAGTGTACAGTGAACAAGATGGATGATCTGCCAAATTGGTCCCTCGCATGGGTGAATCAGGGCAAATTTACAGTACAATTCCTCTGCTGCTCCTGATACAGAAATAACATTTCCCAGGGTTTCTCTTCAGTTGTATGATGACCCAGGGTGAGCAGAGAGAAGAAATAGGATTTGTAGGATCCCCTTTACCTTAAAGATTTACATGCACCTCACTTGCTGTCTTCCTCTTTTGCATCTCACATAAAGCACTAAGGAAAAAGTCAGATTTTTAGGTTTGAGTGTGGAATTTCAAGTGAGTGTGTCGGGGAAGCTCTTGAATGCAGCATGGGGAAGGTCCCAGGACCCTGAACAACAAACACCATTATCCTCTGCACTCTGCTCTGTTTGGGCCTGACTTTTCCTTCAGCATTTGGGATGTGTTTCCATGCTGCACAGGCTGCATGCTCTGGAATGATCTGACAATATTCTGGATAACAAATTCAAAAACCAGAGAGGTGATGGGACCTGAGAATCCTCTGTGGTGGCACCACAGGGCTCAGAAAACTCTGGGCTCTGGGCTCCTCCTTGAGCAGCTGGGAGCTCTGTCAGCCTCCTGCAGGCAGCTGGAGCCAAAGCCAGGGATGTGTGAGGATGGAATCCATGCCATAAACCCTGGGTGGGAGGCAGCGAGGAGGAGGAAGCAGCCCCACAGAAATGGGAAAAGCTGTGGATGGAGAATTCACCCGTGCTCCTTATCTCCTGAATGATTCTTGTAAACCACAGTGCCTCTGTGATGTTGCTTTAAAAAAGGTTCAGCCTGTACCCTCAGATGTCTGGAATCTCTGAATAAGCTCAGTCAGTACATTCTGTGAGAGATAAATTTATTGGGGGGAAAACAACATTTTGTACAGAACCTATTGTTGTTGGCAAATTAACAGATTGGGAAAGCTTTTCTTTAAACCAAGTGTCACAATAACAGATTTGGGTGTCTCCTGATCTACTCAATATCTTTATGTTGGATTCTGAAATACTTTAATTAATACAGCATAATTACACACTGTATTTTAATCTTGTTATTTCTGGACAAAGAGAATTGCAGAAATGTGATGTGTGTGATAAGAAACAAAATTAAATCAATAACTCTTTCAAGATAGAGAGTTGTATCAGTTGTAGAAAATCCCTCATTGACAGAACGAAATAGTGGCTGAGTGAGTTTCTTACAAGTCACAGAAGGAAGTTTAAACCAGTCTAGAATGGAAGCTTTAAAACCATCCTTATATAAAAATGTTGTGACAAGCAAAACTGAGATTTCCTGGCCAAGGAAATTGCGTGCAAACTTACAGACTATTGCACTTCAGTTTTTCCTGATTTTTATTTGTATTTGTACATCTTGTCTTTAGAAGAAATCAGAGACGACTCAAGATAAAATTAGAAAATAATTCTTGTTTTTAAAAAGAGGCTTTTTAGTACCCAAGTCATAGCAAATAGCATTTTGCATACTTAGGCATTTCTTTAAGTAGGTAGAATATAAATGAGGAGGAAAGTTAAATATCCTGCAATCAAAACATTACAATTATGCTAAAGTGGGGACTTTTTTCTCTTTTTTTTACTTACAGAAAGTACTCCAAAGACTTCTGCCAGTTGCAGTCCTGCTCCTGAATCTCCCATGAGTTCCAGTGAATCAGTGAAAAGCCTGACTGAGTTGGTACAGCAGCCCTGCCCTGCCATAGAGACGAGTAAGGATGGCAAATCCCAGGAATCCAGTGAGCCACCTGCATCTGAATCCCAATCCACGACCCCTCTGCCACTCTCAGGCCACTCTGCACTCAGCATCCAAGAACTGGTGGCCATGTCCCCTGAGCTGGACACCTATGGCATCACCAAGAGGGTCAAGGAAGTGCTCACGGACAACAATCTTGGTAAATCTCTTTATTCTCATTTCTGGTCCAAAATTATGTGAAAGTGTTCATGTTTTTATTGTTAGCTACACTAGATGTGTTTGACTCTGGCCTAAGCTTTAATTTGATAATAAGATACATAATCTTTTTAAACTGGTGGAAAACTCCATTCAGATTGTCATACTCTGCTTCAAATCCCATCACACCTTGTTGTTCCTGGCTCAGCAGGCAGGTACTGCTCCCACCTCCCAAAGCAGAGTCCAGCAGGCTGTCAGCACCCCCAGAACCCCAGAGCCAGGGAGATCTCCCCTTGGGAAAGGCTTTTTTCCCCACACTTGCAAATTCCAGACCTATTTTGGGTGAGGTAGAGCATGGTTGGAGAGGAAGGGGCACCACAAGCAGGAGCACAATGTTCCTGCAGAGCTGGGAGGGGAAATCCACACTCAGTTGAGGTTTAGATAAGCCTGAGATAAGTGTCCAGGGCCACTCAGTTCTTCTGCTTAGAGATGTGAAAAGCTCAGGCTGCTTTTGCCTGCAGATGGGTTTTTGGCTGTTGCCTTTATTGCCATGACTGTTTGGAATAGTCGCAGGGAATAACCTGATGTTAGTATGGGAAATCCACATTAATTCTGTTACTGTGCCTCTAAATCTCTGATTCTTCATATCTTTAACCTTTGCCCCCCAAGGTTTTGGGGAATGTTTGTGGGATGCTTTGAGGGCTCTGGCAGGAGGGCAGTAAGGCTGTCCCTGTGTTACCTGCTCTGCTTCTGGGTCTGAGCAAGGGATTCATCCCACCTGCATCAGGTGTTCAGGGGAATGCCTGCTGCTCCCCAGAAGTTTCTCTTCTTCACTACAAATAGAACCAAAAGTTTAGATTTAGACTGATGGTGTTACTTATGTGAGCAGAATTTTATCCATATCATCTGAATGTGATGACTGTGAAGGTAAAAACTCTTCTATTTTAGTATGTGAGGAAGCCTCTTTTCATCTAGACACAGAATAATGTGTTATTTCCATAAAATATTTTTAAGGGGGAAAAATACTGGGATGGAGGAGGTCCCAGGTTCTTATTTAACATCATTTGAGGGGAAAAAAAGGAAATGGCCCTGATCACTGACAGACCCTGAGTGAGATTGTGTTCCACTGAGCCCAGCAGAATTCCTTGCCCATGGAATGCTGGGGCAGATGTGGTTGCTTGTTCAGTGGAGATAAGGTAGAGATAAAGCCCCAAATCATGGTAAGGGTTTGCAGATCCAAGCCCCTGGTTTTTGGGCAAAATGCTGTTGAGTGCTGTACCTGCTCTGGTGTTCCAGAGAGGTTTGGAAAAAAAAAGTATTTTTGTTTGCATTTGCTTTGATGCCATTTTTACTTAGTCTTTTTTATTTCCCATGATTTTTTGTTTTCCTACAGTGTGGCTGACAAGCCTAAAAAGCAGCAGAAGAGCCAGGAAATGTGCCCCAAACTCTGCATTAGGTGTGGAACCAGTTTCAATGTCTCCTTTTGTGCCCTCAGTGTGCTGGTGCTCCAGGTTTTCTGGTGCACAGGTTTCTCTGCTTTAGGCCACTGGGCCCTGTGAGCCTGTCACAGGCAGCTGTGGTGGCTGAGGTGTCCCAGTGTCACCAGCCAGGAAAGGCCACAGTTGTTCAGAACAATTCACACTGAGCTGGGTGGGTCTGTCCTCCCCTCAGCAGTCAGGGGAATGGCTCCAAAGGGAAGCAAAGTAGGTTCAGATGAGATGTTAGGAAGGAATTCTTCCCTGTGAGGGTGGGGAGGCCCCAGCACAGGGTGCCCAGAGCAGCTTCCCCATCCCTGGAAGTGCCCAAGGCCAGATTGGACAGGGCTTGGAGCAGCCTGGGACAGTGGAAGGTGTTCCTTTCACCAGGAGCCGGGTGATCTTTAAGGTCCTTTCCAACCCAACCATCCTCTGCAGGTTCTGTGCCTTCAGCACACTGTTCACTGCTGATGTTCTGAGCCCCAAAAGTCAGAATATCCTCAGGGGTTCCCTGCTGGGCTGCAGGAGCTCACAGGGGGAAGCAGATGCGCTCAGCTGTTTGAGGATAGGGCATATGGGGCATTTTGTAGGAAGGGTCAAAACTTTCCATGAAAGATCCATTAGGATCTACATCCGTGGGAATGGACATGAAAGCTGGGGAGGAGTTTTAGGAAAACTGTGCTTACAAATATTGCTGTTATTGCTGGTGCTGTGCTGAATATGGAGCATGTTACACCTGCTCCCTCCCAGGGATGATTTCTGACACCTTCCCCCTTAGCTTGGGAGTCTTTCAGGTGTTTTCTCCTATCCTGCCATATCCTGACATGAAATAAACAACACAAACATCTTTAGCTTTGTTCTTAACACCTAGAGAACACGATGTTACCTCCTTCCACATTTGCATTTTTAATTTTTAGGCTGTAGTTTAAAGGTTCATTTCCTTCAGCAGCACTGCCAGCACTGCTCATTCCCAACCCTTTTGCAAATCTATGCCCATACTCCTGTTCATGTGGCAACACAATAGCAGATTTTTAAAGTGGCTGTGTTATCTTGTTAGTAGCTGGCAGGTTTACAGGGAAATGGATGAGGCCTTGCTGATGTTTTTAAATACAAACAGGGAGTGGGTTACCCCAGCAAGACATGTGATAAAAGACATAAAGATAAAATTGATAAAATTTCCCCTGAATTACCTCTTTTGTCTGATTTTCCTGATATTGAGGGTAGTGGAAAATCACTTATTACTCAGGAACTTGAGTGAATTCTGAATGTAGGAGCTGTTTTCAGGGCTAGTTTTAGAGCTTATTAGCAGAGTGTCATGTTAAGCCCTGTTCTCCTTTCCCCTCTCTGCCTCTCATTATCTCAGCTGCTTCCTCTGAAAGCTTTGCAGACCCACCTGCCCCACACACCTGAGTGGGATGTTCTGCCCTTCTGACTGATCCCATATTCCCTCCTCTCCCCATACAGGCAAAAAAAAACCCACCAGGGCAAAATCTTGGGATGTTTTTAAAGAGAAAGAGGAGGGGGATATTGGAGTTAAGTGCAGGGGATGGGTCTGTAGAGCAGATATTTGCCATGAGCTGTCTGTGTCAGGATCAGGGAAGGCTGTGAAGAGCTGGTGGTGCTTTTGGAGGTGTGGGCTTGTCCTGCAGAGCTGTGGGGTCAGAATCCCCACTCACCCCATTGTCCCTTAGGGATCTGTTGGTTACCACTGGCTGCAAGTGTTGGGATGTGGAGGGAGAATGTTCTGTTGTGTGTTAGTGAGGAAACTCAAAAGCTGCAGATCCCTGAGCCCCAAATCTGGGGGTTATGGAAAGATCTTTGGGTTACCTTGAAATCCCATGGCAGCAGCATTTGTATCTTAAATCCTGGTGACTCAGCTGACTCCAGGCTCTCCTGCAGCAGAAGGTGGTATCAAGGCAGTGCAGCTGAGGGAGAACACTGAAGTGAGGGGGGTTAGAAAATCAGCTCTGTGGTTGGGTTTGAGCTGCACAGGCATTTTCCCCAGTCCTTGATAAGTTAGGCTTTTCCCATATAAAATCATTGTCAGCAATGCACATATGAACACTGTACACTGTCAAGCATTTGCAGATTTTACCCTGCCAGATGACAGCATTTTGTAAGAGAGCTAAAATTAACTATTCTTAATTAGAAATACTGTAGAGATTGTAAAACAAAAATTGTATTGCAAATTCTGATTATCTCTAGTGGGTAAGGCACAGTTAGATCCCCACAGATAGCACAGCACAGAAATTCCATACGTGTTTCTGTGAGGACATTTATATGGCCACTGCTGAAGGGGGAGGTTGCATTGCTCTTGGTTCACTGATTGCTGGAAATGTTTGGATTGCCCTGTTGGAACAAAGCTGTGGCACTGCCCTCCTGCATAAGAGCTAAGTAACCTCACTGCTCTCACGAGCTGCCTGCTTAGCTAGAAGTTCAGTTTATTTTTCCTCTCCTAATTTTATTTTTTGCACACTGTTTCACTGTAAGGTCCCGTTCCCCAAACGTGTCAAGCTCCTCCTTTTATCCCAGGCAGATCCTGAGGATTAAACTAAAGCTCAATATTTACCCTTCTAGTGGGGGGCAGAGCATTTATTCTCCTAAATGTTTCTTCTGGGTTTTTGAAGCAGTTCTGAAGTAAGAACAATTGAGGAATGATCTCGTGTTCTTTGCTGCGTCTCAGCTGAGCGCATTCATGCTCTTCTCAATTTCCCACCAGGTCAGCGTTTGTTTGGGGAGACAATCCTGGGGCTGACCCAAGGCTCTGTCTCAGACCTGCTGGCTCGCCCCAAGCCCTGGCACAAGCTGAGTCTGAAGGGAAGGGAGCCCTTTGTCCGCATGCAGCTGTGGCTCAACGATCCCAACAACGTGGAGAAGCTGATGGATATGAAACGCATGGAGAAAAAAGGTAAAAGAGCAGAGTGCTGACTCACACCTTCCCCTCTTCAGCCTGGCTTTAGAACCCTCCAGAAACAGTGGAGAGGCAGCATTGATCCACTGGTATGAGGCTTATGCAAAAGCACTTCAGCACAGGTTTTTTTGGAGCTTTTATTTGATGCTTGCTCAAGCAGATACGTCTCAAAATAAAAGGAAAGCAAACACACAACTGTGACGGTGTTCACAGGGGTCTGAGGATGAGGGAAGAGATGAGGATCTGACTCCATGTTTCAGAAGGCTTGATTTATTATTTTATTATATATATTATATTAAAACTATACTAAAAGAATAGAAAAAAAGATTTCATCAGAAAGCTAGCTAAGAATAGAATAAAAAAGAATGATAACAAAGGCTTGTGGCTCAGACTCTCTGTCCAAGCTAGCTTACTGTGATTAGCCATTAATTAGAATCAACCTACATGAGTTAATCAAAATTCTACCTGTTGCATTCCACAGCAGCAGATAACCATTGTTTACACTTTGTTCTTGAGGCTTCTCAGCTTCTCAGGAAGAAAAATCTTAAGGAAAAGATTTTTCATAAAAGATGTCTGTGACACACAACAAAAAGCCAACCCCAAACCCTAAATATTCACCAGCTGCTGGGGAATCATTGCTGCTTTCTCCTATAGATTAATTACTGAGGCCCTGGTGTATCACTGATAACTTGCCTTACCAAATGAGAAATGTGGGTTTGGGTTATTAGTTAATAGTGCTGCAGCTGGTCACAGATGTTGGGCTGGAAGAGCTGAGCATTGATTCCTGGGAAAGCTCCTTGCCAGCCCTGCACTGATGGCTGCTGGGAGGAGAGAAAAATGCAGCCTTTATAAAAGGCTATTGCAGAATAATGATATTTGAAGCCTTTATAGGGAGGGTGATTGTGTTAATAAAATAAAATTTGTGTTATGCTCACATAAAACAGGGTCATGGGGATGGACCTGTGAGTGCTCTGAGTTGTTACTGGGTATCTTAGTAGGAAGTACATCCTGCAAATTTATCCAACTCTCCCCATTTTAAATTCATCACTAAAACCCAGTGGTTCTTCAGGGCCCTGTTTTTAGTATGTTCATGTGATTTTACAAGAGAGACTCGTGGGCTGCCATTATCAGCAGTTAACTAATTAATGATATATACATCTCTGGAGCTAGCCCTTAATGATATTAGCACAGACATCATTAATCGTGTACACTGCAAGCTCTGCTGTTGACTGATGTTCTGAAAGCATTTACACATTTGATCGAGAACTTGGTGATTATATTTAAAATTGCAGTGAGGGAGCTTCTGGGAAAATTATAGTCTTGCAGGCTTTTAAGAAGAAATTCAAGTCCTTGTGACAGTAACCAGTATAAAATAAAGCAGTGCAGTATCTTAGCACATGGATGGTCTTCCATGGGGAGTAAAATCCACTTGGGTTTCCCACTTACAACTGTAAACCAAAGGGAATCATGAGGAGTTTTGCTGCATTAGAAACATGGCAGGAATAAAATTGTCAACTAGCTGGATTTTTATAGCCTCACAGAGAATATTGCCCATAATGCAGCAAAATAAAATAAAAATAATTTAAAAGTGGTACTGACAATATCCTTTCAAAACAATTTTCTAAACTGGATTCTTACCAAATATTGCTCACTTATCAAATAGGGAGCAATACATACGGTCTGTAGATGGCATCTGAATAGAGATAAGGCCATAAATCATTGGGACTCTGCTCTGAGCTCCTGAACTGTGCAAGTGCTGTCCTCAGAGCAGTCTAAAGTGAATTCAGCCCTGTATTTTCTACAAAATCCTTTCATGCAGGTAAGGATCCTGTGATTTAACCTTTTAAATTGCTCCAGAGCCACATTAAGAATTTAACTTTCCCTTCAGCTAATGTCAGTAAAAGAACAATGCGACTGGCTCAGCTTCCAGTGAAACATTATTATCAATTATTTCTCTGCCACATTTTATTAAGGGAGTAAATTAATAATTATGATAAAGGTGAACTGCATATCTCTTTTTTTTTTTTTTTTTCTGTTCCGCCAGTCTGAAGTTTGTGCTATAAATGTCCCTTTTAAGAGGTTCTGAAAATTTGCAATGTACACTAACCAGCCTCTTTGGAGGGAGCTGGGGCTTCATGCTCACCAGGCTGAGACATTTGCACACCTTTCCTGCCTTGGAAATGTTCATTCCTCTCATAACCTCGGGGGTGTTGGGCTGCTGGAGCATCACACTCCTCACAGAACAGCACTGCTGTCAGGAGAAAATTGAATTCCCTTTATTTCCCCATTATTTCACTTTTTAATAATCTTGTTCAATACCACATAAGGTAGAAATTATATTAAAAGGGGCTCTGTTTTATCTCAGTGGGCAGCTGTGCACTGGTGTCTGTGGCATCCATAGCTGGGCACACATGGACTGGGGGGAGGAAGGTGGAACTCAGCCTCAGACCCAGATTCAGACCTTTGCCCACATTACAGCTGGGTTTCCTTTTTTTCATCTGTCTCCTGAGGAATGGAGACTGGTCACAGACAAAAATCAAACTTCTCCAAAAATAAAGTGTGTTTGCAACTTGGATGCCCGTTTGAGCCTTGCTGTCACTGCAGATGTGCTGAATGATCTCCTTACATTGTCTGCATGTAGCACATATGTATAAAAATAAAAATGGAAAAGCTTTTAAAAATGTCATCTAAGTTTCCAGTGACCAGCATTGAAGCCAGAAGTCTGAGTGCTAGTTCTGCCTTTGGCCCAGTGGAAGTTTTCCCTGATGGTAGATTGTCCTCCAGAACACAATTGCTCTGACAGAACAGTGGGGCATCCTCCTCTTTATTTGTGTTTTAATGAAATTTGTGCTTTTATATCATTTGTTCCATTCACATGAGAGCATCCCAGCTCAGCCAGTGCACCTTGTGTGATGCCAGAGTGAGGTTACAGGAGCAGAGGAAGGAATGACATTTTTCCCAAGCTCTCACAGCTCCAGATTGTCCTTTGCTGCTTTAGACAGGAGCTTTGCCCTGCCAGAAATCCCATCCTGTGGAGAGCAAAGGGAGATCCAGCCCATCCTGATCCCTGCGTGTCTCCTGCTGGCTCAGTGACCTGGCCAAATTCCAGAAACTCCAGTCAGAGGTGGTCTGAGCCCCTGTCACATCTCCCATGCCAGGTTCTGGTTTGTCTTGGGCCTCCTTGAATCTGCTGCCCATTGCTGAGGTGATGGATGTTGTCCTCCAGCCTCTTGGTTCTGCTGGGCAAGGAAACAAGGGAACTGCCTGCTGTAGTTTGCAGGTCAATGCAAGTTGGAAATAACACCCAGGAAGGAGTTTTGAGATTAAACACCTTATAGGAATATGAGATTATCTTGCTGGAATTATTAATTCCATGGTTGAAGATTGGAACAGTTCCTTGAAGACTGCAAAAATAAGGCCAGTGGGTCACCTTGAAATAATGCAGATTTTATGCAGTTTTACATCTGGTTGGAACAACTTAAATAGGTGGATTTTTAAAGGAGATTTATTTAAAAAAAAAACCACTTTGTTTTTTATGGTTATTTCAAACGTGTGCAGGACTGTATCACGTCAGAGTGATGGATCACGAGCAGCTCACGTTGTGTTCCATATCAGTGATCTTACACAGTAGGCAATCCTCAGGTAATCTGTCATATTCAGGGAAAACAAAATGTGGGCCATGCAGATACCCCCAAAGGTTACAGAGTGTGTTCAGAATTCACTGCCATGATAGCAAAGCCACAGTGCCAAAGGTCCCACTGGAGGCACCATGGAGAGGGCAGGGGCTGGAACCACTGGAGCCAGAAAACCCAGCCAGGCCTGGAGGGAGCCCTGCCAGGAGGCACTGGCTGGGGTTTGAACACTGCAGTTTATTTGATTGCACTGGTTTTTTATTCACTGTGCAGCCTCAGCCTGAAGGCAGAGCTGTGGGGAGAGAAAAATTGAATTTTTGAAGAATTTGGTTGCTGACCAGTGTGACTGGCCCCACAGTGTCCCTGGCTCCAACCAGAGCTCCTGGCTCCTGGAGGTTTAATGCCTCCTGGATTGATGTCAGGCCGGTGTAATCTGCAATTTAATACCCAAGGTTATCAAATTTTAGCTCTTGAATACGTAAACTCTTAAATATCTAGAAGATATTTACCAGCCATTAAATATTTTATTGACAAGATTCATCTATATTTGCTGTTTTCAGCCCCCTCATTAGCAATGCTTGTGCATGATACTGCCAGGTGCAGTAAATCCCACCTCCCCATGCCCAGTGTAAATCAATCAAGTCAGTGACAGCCTTTGCTGGGACTCCTTCCTTGTGGAATTTGCCAGGATAATTCATTCCCAGTCAGGGAGGAAGGTCAGTGGCAGGATCACAGGCTCCTGCCATCAGCCTCACCGAGCCCATCAGTGCAGGGAAAGCTTTCTTAAAAGTGTCTGTGTTTTGGAAGGAGCTCTGTGTAGGGGAGGAGGCTGCTGGGGGTTGGTTTTCTTTCATAACCTGTCACTGCCTCAGCAGAGAGCTGTAGGGAAAGGCAGCAAACGCCTGATGGTTGTTCAGCCATCGCTGGCATCTCCGGGCTGCAGGCGCCATCGTGTGTTGGAGGTGGCTGGGGAAGGCTGGGAGTGCTGCAGCTCCACTGCCACAGTCGTGTTTGCCTTCATGTCAGAGACACCTCCGTGTGCACCTGAAGTGTTTCAACCACCAAACCCCTTTCAGTCAAAACCAGGCACAACTGTCCCAGTCAGGGCCCTGCGTGGGCGTTCGCTCCTCTTGGAGGAGTGAATGTGAAATGAGTCGTGTGAACTGAACCCTGTCATTCGTGTCCCACGTTCATTGTAAAGGCAGGAAACTCTGGCAGGTTTCCAGCTGACTTACCCTCTTTTCTTCTCTTTCTGCCTCCTGCATCCTCCCCTTGTTTGGTCTCTGGTGGCACCCCATCCTTCCCATCCCTGCATCCCCACCTGTGACAGTGTTCGCAGGGGTCCCAGGACAAGGGAGGAGATGGGAATCTTGACTCCGTGTTCAGAAAGCTGATTTATTATTCTATTATATATATTATAGTAAAAGAAAATTATCTATTAAAACCATACTAAAAGAATAGAGAAAGGATTTCATCAGAAGGCTAGCAAGGAATAGAAAAGAAAAGAATGATAATAAAATCTTGTGACTGACCAAAAAGTCCAAGACAGCTGCTTGCTCTGGAAGCTTTGCAGACCCACCTGCCCCACACAACTGAGTGGGATGTTCTGCAGCTTCTGACTGGTCCCATATTCCCTCCTCTCCCCATACAGGCAAAAAAATCCCACCAGGGCAAAATCTTGGGATGTTTTTAAAGAGAAAGAGGAGGGGAATCTTGGAGTTAAGCTGGACTGTGATTGGCCATTAATTAAAAACAACCACATGAGACCAATCAGTGATGCACCTGTTGCATTCCACAGCAGCAGATAATCAATGTTTACATTTTGTTTCTGAGGCCTCTCAGCTTCTCAGGAGAAAAGACCCTAACGAAGGGATTTTTCATAAAATGTGTCTGTGACACCCACCTGCCGTCTCCATGTTTATCCCTCATCTTTCCCTCTCACAGCAGCAAGTTTCCACCCAAGCTAAAAAGACCCTGATAGATAAGAATCCATTGATTCTACATTTGTATTTAGCCCCCTGTGCCTCTCTTTCAGCCTACATGAAGCGGCGGCACAGCTCGGTCAGCGACAGCCAGTCCTGCGAGTCCTCGTCCGCTGGCATCGACTACAGCCAGGGTGCCAGCCCCCAGCCCCAGCACCAGCTCAAGAAGCCCAGGGTGGTGCTGGCACCAGAGGAGAAAGAAGCTCTCAAACGAGCCTACCAGCAAAAGCCATACCCATCACCAAAAACCATTGAGGAACTCGCCACGCAGCTCAACTTGAAAACCAGCACCGTGATCAACTGGTTCCACAATTACAGGTGAGTGGCCTCTGCTCCTCAGGGAGGGCTGGGCTTGGCTTAGCTTTGGCAGGTGCTGCTCTGCCTCAGCAGACTGTGCGGGGTGGCTGTGCAAAACAAGCAGCTCTGACAGCAGGGAGGTTCTCACTAACACAGTGCTAATGCTCCAGACTAATTTTAAGTCATCCCTGAGGAGCAGCTGCACTCACATATTGATGTGAGTGGTGCTTTTAAACAGAAAGTCTGGCTTTTGGGGTGGGCGTGGATGTAGAGATGTCCACTGATGAATATTTATAAAGGCACTGCAGCAGGCCAGGCTGCTCTGTCTGACTCACATGTGCACACGCACAGACACGTGTCAGGTGTGTGGTGGGTGTTGTCCCTGGGTCACTGGGTGGGGGGGACTTAGAAATGTCCTTTATTGGATGCCATCAGAATTGCCCTGCTTTCATTGTGGCATTTTTCTGCATCAGAAGGAAAAAAAGGATTTTCTTTTAGGTCTTGACTCACCGAGCTCTGAAAATAGGCACAGTTTGTGCTGTGGTTTTGGGAAGCTTCATGGAGTCCTGAAGGACACAGAACCAATAACCCTGAAGTCAGATGTGGCCACAGAGAGGGACTTCTTAAAAGGGCCTAGAGTGCTAAGACAAGGGGGAATGGCTTTAAACAGACAGAGAACAGGGATAGATGGGATATTGGGAAGGAATTGTTCCCTGTGAAGATGAGCAAGCCCTGGCTCAGGGTGCCCAGAGCAGCTGGGGCTGCCCCTGGATCCCTGGCAGTGCCCAAGGCCAGGTTGGACAGGGCTTGGAACAGCCTGGGACAGTGGAAGGTGTCCTGCCCATGGCAGGGAGTGGAACAAGGTGAGCTTTTAGGTCCCTTCCAACCCAAACCACTGCAAAATTCTATGATTTATTTCATTAGTATGATTAAATCATTGACTCCCACTGAAACAAAACGTTGGTCTGTTCAGTTCCTCTCTCATTTGAGGAGAAACCTTTTCCACATCTGAGCCCCTGAAGCAGGCTTTGGCCTAGAGACAGTGATAAAAAGAGACAAGGCTGGAATAGCACATAAGAATTTTAGGGATTTGAATAAACATATTATCAACTGTGCTTGGGATTGGAAGTCCTAATTAATGCAGCAGACTTTTCTCCAAGAAATTTGTGCTAATGAATATTGAACAGGTACAGTTAAGCTACCAGATTTAATACTATTCTGCTCCTTCACTTGGAGCCAGTAATGTTCCTAATTAGTCCAGATTGCTAAACTTGTTTGTTTTTAAAAACTGCTAACATTTAAAGGGTAGTTTTTCACTTTAGCCCTTCTCAGTTACCAGAGAAGTTGCTGAAGCAAAAGCAGCAGAGTTTAATGAGCTATCTCAGAAATATTATGCACAATAGTTAAATAATGTTTATAGTAAACAATACAAAATTTTTAAAAAATCAAGTAATCATATTTCCACTGGATTTCACTGCCTTGAATTCAGTACAGATGCAGCCTCTTTTCACTGCTCAGAGTTCTCCAAATGCAGCCCTCTTCCAATTCCCACTTGCAGGCAATTATACACAAGTTGGAGGGATGCCTATGAAAATATGTTCCCTTCGTCCTGACAGCAAAATGTGCTGTTCTCACTTGGGCAGAGGAGCGGGAGCGCTGGTGGCAGGTGTCACCTCCCCCTGGTGGCAGTGTCGCCTCCCCCTGGTGGCAGTGTCGCCTCCCCCTGGTGGCAAGTGTCACCTCCCTCGTTAGCACAGGTCCAGCCTTGCTCCAGCCCCACCTTCCCGGGGAGGAGGTGCTGACAGCTGGACACAAACCCAGCCCTGTGCAATGGGGGCAGCACAAGGCTGAGCTCTGAGGGATCTGCGCCTCTCCCAGATGTGCTGCTGGGACACTCCAGGGCTTTCAGAAGCTGCTTCAAGCCTGTTTGGAGCTCTGTGTGCCCTGAGCACTGAAAAATCAAAACACAAACTTGGTTTTTGTTCCCCTTGACAATAATTTTCTTAGCTGTCATGCATTAATTTCTCTGAAATCATGTGGAGGGTGTTGCAGAAAAGGGACAGGTTCCATGTTCTGTGAGGGGAGCAGGGTCTGACTGTTGTGCTGATCATATGTTACAAGAAATGGGTGGTCTTTATTTCAGTCTTCTCTAGGCCACACTTAACTTTATTTATCTCTTTCATTCTCTCCCTCGGCCTTTTCTTTTCCAAACTGAATTGTTTTTTATACAGAAGCAGTTCCACAACTCTGACCATCTGCTTGTGCTTTAATACTCATTTTTCTGTAGCTTTAGATAAGGGAGGGCACAGATTTGGACAAGTTTGTCTTGCTGTCTCTTGGGAATCCTGCTGTAGTGATGCTTTTCCTTTCAGATTCAGCCCAAATCTCACTTTCCAAAGGTGGTTGCTATAGCAGGATCTACCTTTATATCCACCAGATGGAAAGTCAGCATTAGCATTTATTTCCTACAGCAAAAAGAAACGCTGGAAAAAAATATCCTCAGCAGGCAAAGAAATAATTCACTTCAGAATGTAAATGGGTATAAAGGATTTTGACATGTCTGCAAGCTTCTCCAAGTCTATGGCTTTGCATTCATACCAGTCACAGAGCTCTCAGAATATACAATGAATATCCCTTGCTTTGCACTAGTGAAGCACATACAGGACACATCAGAGGCTCTGATGTCTTAAGAATGGTAGAAAAAAGCAGGAGAGAGGAATTTCTACCCCACTTCACCTGTGGAAACTGGTACATAAACTCAGCATGCCACAGAAATTATACTATAGACACATCAGGAATGAAACCAGACTTTCTAGAATTGTAATCCAGCACTCTTGGACCCTAAATTCTGAGTGTATTTTTCAATGAACTCTACACAGTGCTGGTTTTGATGTTGTGTGAAGGCTTGTCTGGGGAGCTGCAGCAAACACCCAGGAGATCTCTGATGTTTTTTGTTCCCGTGGTGAAATCCAGCAGGGTGTGTGGATGTCAAGGCCAACACCTTCCCAAGAGGAATGCTCTCTGCAATCCTCTAGCTGCTGTCACCAGGTCTTCTTTACCATAAGAATTTAATTACCGTGTTAATCAGGAGCCAGACCAGATTCCAGCAGCAATATATTGGGTGTGAATTCCAGGGATTTCCACAGACAGGGGTTTGATGTTTGCAGGGCTGTGGTCAGATTCTCAGTGAGGTTCAGAACCTGCTGGAGCTGAGGTGTTTTAAATGCCGTGCAGGCACTGAGCTCTCACAGCCTCCTCTCCTGACTTGGGGAATGTTACAGAAGCACCATGTTCTGGATCAATGTCCATGCAGGGAGATTTTAGGCATAAATAGAGCCTGATAATCAATGTTGCAGGATGCCTGCAGTTAATGGTAATAGAAAATTAATGTTAGCACCTGTGGGCTTCTGATAGGTGAGTAATATTCTCCTAGGGAAAATTACAGACCCCCTAAATCCTTCAGAAGTGTGGAGTCAGTGAGTACTGCTGAAATACTCTGTTGCATTTCAAGTAAGTCAATAAGATCAATAGCTTCAAAAGCAGTATTCAGGTGGTGGTCTCCATTTAGCTGAATGTTTTTTCCATTGTGTGCTGTCTTCCACAGCACAGTTAAGGGAAAATAAAAAATCCTTACAGCCATCAGTGCTGGGACAGCGTGTCACTTGTGGTTTGCAGCCCCTTGGCAGTTCTCTGTGGCCAAAACCAAGAGTTTTTTACCTTCACTCTGAAAAATAGTAAGTTCTGGTAAACTCTCCCCAGGCCTGTGGTCCCATCCCTTACCATGGATCATTTGGGCTCCCTCTTGGTTATAAATTAGGAATTAAATGGTGTTCATCACTTCTCCCATGGATGCAACAGGACAGAGAATAGAATAGTCTAGAATAACTCCCTAACCTGCAGAACAGTTTATCTAGAGAGGTATTAGGAAGTTCTAGGCTTAATAATGGAGCTCTGTGCATTGTGTTTGAAGGTATTGCATTTGAAATAAGCAAGCATTGTTTTAACCAAAGGTACTACTGTCAATATGTTTTTGCTTTGTGTGATTGGTCAAAAAACTTATAAAGTGAGTTGTAACATTGAGTTCTTTCTCTGCTGCCTGGGATGTGAGCTGCTGGCATCTTCCCATTGTCATAACCATGTAAAGAGGCTGATGCTGGAAAATCAAACAGCTCAAGGCACGTTCCCAGCAATCCCATCCCGTTGGTGATTTGGGCCATAACAGCCTCGCTGCCTCTTCTGATCTCACCCCCTGTCCCTCTCTCGCAGGTCCCGCATCCGCCGGGAGCTGTTCATCGAGGAGATCCAAGCCGGGAGCCAGAGCCAGGCCGGGTCGAGCGATTCCCCTTCGGCCAGGAGCAGCAGGGCGGCGCACAGCTCCGAGGGGGACAGCTGCGACGGCGTGGACGCGGAGGGCCCTCCCGAGGGGAAGCCGAGCGGCCCGGAGGCGGACGAGTTCAGCAATGCGGCCGCCAAGTCTCAGGGAGGGCCCGCCGAGGCGGCTTTCGAGGCGGGGGAAGAGGCACTGCGAGGAGCCAGGCCCTCGGAGAGAGCGGAGCCCGAGAGCCTGGAGGACACCGACGACGAGGGCCGGCCCAGAGCGGCGCCGCGCCAGAGCTCCCCGCCGGCACCACAGCAGCGCCAGGGAGACGCTCTGGAGACACTGCCAAACTCTGCCACGGAAGGGGATGCCTCTACCTCAGCTGCCTCCACCTCAGTCCTTACGGGGGAGAGCTCCTACAAGTCGAAAGAAAGTTCAGAGAAAATCTCCAGTGTGCCAAGTACGAGCTCGACGCCGGGCGCAGGCTCGCAGAAATCCAACTCTCTGCAGAGCTTGTTCGGCTTCTCGGAGGCGGCGAGCTCCAGGAACACGCGAGACAGCTCCCTGAGGAAAAAGAAAGCGGCCAACTTGAACAACATCATCCATCGCTTGGAGAAGGCCGCCAGTCGGGAAGAGGCCGTCGAGTGGGAGTTTTGAGATTAAACTGGCCCAACTCGGGAGAGCTGGGAAGTCAAACTGGACCTCTACTGGTTTTATTGTGTTCGCACTTAACCGCCCTGCGGGCCACAGGGCAAAAACGCCATAGGCCAAGGTGCATATAGAAATCAAAAAGAAAAAAACACAAAAAAAAAAAAAAGAAAAAAAAGGAGCGTTAAGCCCAATTTATGTTTGTGTTTTCGAGGAAGAAAACTGAAATGTGTAGTCAAGCTTTTTTGTACCCTGAAGTGTTTTTATTATTGCCCTAAGTGATTTCCACAATTTCTGGAATATCTCATACAGCTTTGCCTTGTGCCCTCCTCTTTGGTGTGGGGCTTTAAAAAAATGAAAAACAGGAAAAAAAAAAGCCTAAAAAAAAAAAAATCCTTAAAAAAAAAAAATCAAACCCACATATTAAAAGGGGGCTTTTTATCTGCCATCTAATGGCTACAGAGCGATAATACACTATTATCTTCTTAAACCAGGAAAAAAGGGGAGATTTTTCAAGAAAAAGAAAAAAAAAGAAAGTTTTTTGTAGCTGTTCAGTTGCCACTAAGAGATTGCACAGTCAACCGACTCTAAACACACTAGTTTGGATTCCTACATATTTTCAAGAAAAGAAAAGAATCTTGTTGTTTGAAACTTTGAATTAAAAAAAAAAAACACATTTACTCCACATATTTTTTAACAAAACAAAAAAAAAATCACATCAGGAAAATATCTTAATTTGTGGTAGCTGACTTAGTGTTTTCTTGTAAGTGAAATAGAATATTGACACGTAGTGCACATTGTTTCATAGCTTTAACTGATTCTGGTCTTTTGCAGCCCAGAATTTGTTTAATACACTCCATTTTAGGCCAAATCAGGACAAAAAAAAAAAATCTGAATCTAGGTATTTTATAATCTGCTTTTTAACCTCTAACCACAGAGCACGCTGATCAGACCTCATATCTGGGAGGTTTAGGAGACAACTTAGAAGCAGCATGTACTTGATCATTTCACTTGGTTCGTAGTGTACAGGATTTCCTTTCAGCAAAGACAGATCGCTCCAAAAACGTTGGCCAGTAACATTTCAGCCTGCTACTTGGGGGCCCAGCCCGTATCCCCAACATTCAGCTTACCTGGAATCCTTGGGAATGCATTCACGTGTCCGATTGCTGTCACACACCACTAAGAGGGACTGGAGCTGCCGCAGACCCAGCCCTTTTCCTGCTGTTGGTGGCCATTTACTGACTCTCTTCCCACCACGAGCACTGATTTTAAATATGTTTTAGTTGTGGGAAGCTCCTTTTTTTGTGTGGATAAAGAGTACATGGCAATGACCAGACGGGCTCTCACCGGGGTGGAAGCAGCCCAAGCTCGAAACCAAAACCTTCGTGCTCTCGAGTCCCAGTGCAGCCCGTTCTGCCCTGCAGAAATACAGCCTTTTCCCATTATTTTATGCACAGGTTAGGGCTGATCAAAGTACAAATCCAATTCTAACTTGTCTCTAACTCCTCCTGTTGTCTATATGTATATGCGTGAGCATAGAGGTGCGTGGAAGGATGTGTGTGCGTGGGTGTGTGCGTGCAATTTTATACGTCTGTGTATTTTCTTACGTACTTGTGCACACATAGAGTGCATTACTGCCACCTTTTTTCAATAAGCTGTTTTATCAGTTATGGCTTCTACAAGTTTGCTAATTTAGACTCCTTTATTGCCATATCTTTAAAACTAACAATAGATGATTTCGGAATATATATATATATATAAATATATATATATATAATTTTTTTTTGCTTATTTATAGGTGCTGTATTTTATTATCTGATTGTTAGGAAGGGATGAAAGGGGGCAAATATTCTTTAGAGGGATAGACTGCCGGCAGTATTGGGTATAATTTACAAGATGTAGTTGTCATACTGTATATTATTGATTGAAGACTTTTTTGACCGTATTGTGTATCATTGAACTTTTGTCTTAGGTCAGCATCTTTTTGATGACACTTTAATGGTGCATTCATTACTTCTTAAGTTTAATTAATATTACTTTTCTGATTTTGGGGGAGGGAGGGATGGGGGAGAGGAGTTCCGACTTTAAAGGTATGTTCCCAATATTACACCTCAGTGTGCTTGTATTAATTCATTAGTAGGATTTTTGACTGTAAGATGTGAAACCACATTTCTTGCATGATGTTTTAGAACTTATGTATTTCATTTACAGTCTCTTAACATGCGACAGCAGCACTTAGCGCAAGTTTTCACAAATTTAAGAATCAGTACACTAAAATCCATCCTTCTCATGACTAAGGAAAGAAGGCTCTAGGAGGCTGAAAGGCAGGGATTTATTTCTGATTTTCACTGCTAGCTGTTTCAGGATTCCTCCTTGGGTAACTGGGGACTCGTGGTGCGAAACTGAAGCTGAGGAAGGGAGAGAGAGCAGCTGCCCCTTTCTGTGCTGAGCTGAGGGACAGTGGCAGTGGCAGACACCAGGGAGTGGCAGCACTGCTGGGAGCGGGGTGAAGCCAAGGGTGACCTCTCTGTACCTGTCCAGTGTCCTGGTGTGACTTCCAAAGCACAGCTCCGTGGAGAAGCACGTCCTGGTAGGAGTTCACATACCTTAGTACAAGTCACAACAAGCTGCGTCTGCAGCCAAGAGCAAAACTGCCCAGAGGACGCAGATATTTTCTTAGGTTCTTTAATTGTTTTTATTTTTTTTCTTTGTTGTTGTTTGGTTCAGGTTGGGTTTTTTTAATTAATTCTAGGCAATACACTTGCCAGTCTGTTCCTACTGTCCTTGTCTGCTGATTTGAGACCCAGGTGCTGGATGCAGTCAAGTGGTTACTCTCAGCTTTCTCCATAGTGAGGGGTTTTTTTTTCTGTTTGATGATTTTATTTTGTTTTTTAAGTTAATGTTCCCCAAACTGTTCTTGTGCCTGTGTCTATCTGATTGCATTCCATGATGCTTACTGAGAGCTCTGGCTGCATTGTACGACAGCAGAACTGTATTCACAGGTCGCACACAAATGCAGCACTTAAGGTCAATCTCTCTTCTTAATAAGCAATACGTAAGTGCCTTGAAACATATCTTCTTTTTTTGTTTTTTTTTTTCCTTTTTCCTGTTTATTTTTGGTTTGCTTTTCAGGTTTCCACTAGTTCTTTAGGATTCTTTAGCATCTGCCCAGTTCTTAATGCTGTAATGATTTTTAAAAAGCATATCTGTAGCTTGCCCTAGAGGAAATCTTTCTTTCATAACACTAACTGTTAATTCTAAGCTCCATTATTCCATTTGAGTCATGTAATTTTGCTGGTTAAAGACAGCGTTCAGAAGTCAGAAGTCACTCCATCCTGCCAAGCGTTATCATTGGGATCTATTATAAAATTAATCAAATAAAATGCTGTCAGTATTTCCTATATTTTTGGCACTTTATTAATGGCTTAGCTCCTTTTGCTGTTTCATATTTAATGAACTGTGTTGAATGTGGATTAGCCTGCTGAGATGCTGTTGGGGTGATCTCCTGCCCAGGGTTCCAAGGAGCACCCTCAGACCTGGAGCTCAGAGATGCTCCTGGGCTTTGTCCCCGTGCTTAGCCAAGGTCACAGCTGCTTTTCTGTTCCAGTGGAAAGTAGGATGGATAGTTGAACTACTGCTGATGTTCTCGGGTTGGACATGAGTTACCTGCTGGTGTTTCTGGCCAAGGCCCCCCAGTTTAGAGGCTGAACTTACACTGCAAGGTGTGAGAGATAGTTGGGATCAATTTGGAACTCGCCCTTAGGAGGAAAATGTGCTTTGGAATAACTTTTTTTTTTTTTAAATGTAATTCAAAGGAGAAAAAGTTGAAGGAGAAGAAATGCCAAAGAGCAGCACAGTGGCTGTCATCCCTTGGGTGCTGATTCCAGGGGAAGGGAATGTGTGAAAGGATGACATGGGGCTCATCTCCCAGGGCAGCAGAGCCCTCGTTGCTGACGTTTCTTTTCCTGATGGATAAAAGCACAGGCAGTTTTCAGGAAATCCATCATGCCAGATTCTGTTTTTCCTGAGGTTCTTTAAAAGCATTTTATTTTCTCTCTCTGTTTCCAGTTCCATGCTCTTACCAATGCTGTGCATGAAGGGCCAGGGCTGTTTTAATAGAAATAACATTTATATTGCAGTTAAATTGTTGATTTTTCTCTCTGGATGATTAGAGAAGGAAAAAGAGTGCAGTGCTTTGTTTGCTAAAAGCCAGGAAAGAGTATCCCCTGGCACAAGGGTCATGCAGTGGAATTGTCAATACACTTCCATTTTTCAGGATACAGATTTCAGACAAGAGCATTGTAGATGTTTATTGGCAGAAATGCATTTAATTACAGTTGCTTTTGATGCCATAAAATTTGACCATTTTATTTATTCATCGGTGAAATGCCTATGAATAGAGCCACCCTTTAAAGGAATCCATATCAGTGCACTCTGCCCATATCATGAATTGGTGAGTTCTTCAGTAATAAACTCCTTGCTGTAATAGGAAAGATCTATATTACAGTTAAAAAGAAAAAAAGTATGTGCCTTTCTCATTAGCTAAAAGATCTCTGCATTATTTTTATGTAACTTGTTGATATAGGATTGGTGTAGAGCAGGGGGACCATGAACACCACAGAATTCTATGCAATGTTTTCCAATCCAATTACTTAAAAGTTCCTATTTTTCAATCCTTTAACAGGAGAAATAGCAAGTTAGAGAAGTGCATAATGCTGGTGGTAATTCAAACTGCAAAGCTGATAAATTGACATAAAATAGAATTGAGGGAAATGTGACAAATTAATGTGATGAAATAATGGAAAATGCTAACAGTGGTTGCAGTCCCTACAAGCACAGCTGCTGTCAGAAGTCTGTAATCTTCCATTTTAAAATTAATAATTTCCAGTATTCTTAAAGCTTTTATGAATAAGAATGCTCCTGGCAAAAACAGGGCAGGTTAGAAACACAGGAAAAAAATCACAATTTGAAATTATGAGAATACACAAAAAAAAGTAATTGGGTTTGGACACTTTGCACTTGCATCCAAAATGTTTTATTTCAGTTGAAATGCCACAGTAATTTGTGCCTTCAGCAGGGCTGTGAGAGATCAGTAGCTTGGCAGTTTGTTGCAGACTGAAAGTGGAGTGTTGACATTTTTAACCTGCACATGGAGGGCACTATTTTTGCTCCATTTGTGTCTCTTCCTACAAAGGAGTTCCTGAAATTCTCTGATTTCCTCTTCACCCAGTGGATTTTCTCTGTCTTCAGCCATGAGTGTGGCTGAGCTCCTCTTGGAGACTCAGGAACAAGAGGAGAAGGAGAAAAGTTGGTTCTTAGGTGGGGACTGGATTGAACATTCCCTAAACCAATTCAAGGCTTTCCTGTGAGTGTGTGGCAGTTCTGCCCTGGTGTGACCAGCTGGTTGGAGCCTCTTATCCCTGAATTTAACTCACATAAAACATTGGACTGGGTTGATTCCTGTGTTGTTCTGCCTTCCCCTTTCTGCTCTGTGAACATCAACATTGTCTTTGTGTTGCATATACAATCAACTTTTCTGAGAATTTAAAAATTCTGTGCAAAGGAAAGACTTCCCCCTACCACAACCCCCAGCAGTTTAAAGTCTGGTTTTAAATTGCAAGGAGAATCAATGGCATGAGAAGTACAAGATCTGAATTTCTTTTCTGATGTAACCTTTGTAGTTCAAAAGGGGTGTAGCAGTTCCTGTCTCCTTCACATATATTTGAGCTCTAAAATGTAGAAATATAATTTCACCAATTTCTTCTTTCCTCCCCATCTCTTTTATAGGATATATTGACTATGCCATATATAAAGTATAGTTAATAATGGACTTTATAGCAAGAAAAGCTCTTTAAACCATGCCTAGGGACGGATTTGTCCTACATGACCAGGTCATGGACTATACCCTTCCCTATTAATATGCAAGGATAAAATGGTTTTATGCTCTGAACGTGAAATTTATCCTTTTGGAGAAGATTAGCGTTAGGCCTGTGCACTTAAGTTTTCAGAAAGCCTTAAAAACAGGTGTGTAAGTGGTGCCATCTCTGTCCTCAGGGATGATTCCCCCCCAGCCAAGTGGTACTGTGGCATATTTAATAGCAGTTATTAGTTAGAAGGTCATTTTCCTGTTGAAGAAAGTCATTCATTGAACTTTATTAGTGAGTCCCTGGCCAGCATCCTCTGGTACAATCCAGGACCTGCTTTTCCCAAACCTGGGCATCCATATCCATCCCAAAATCCTTGGCTCTCTGTGAAATCTGTGTTTCTGCAACTCTTGTGAATGGAAAAAACCCTGATGGGATTCCTGGACTTCGTTGTCATTGCTATTCACAAACATCTTCTGGCACTAAGTGCATTAAAAGGAAAAGCCTCCTTTTAAAAAACTAAGATTATTGTATTTTGTCCTTGTCCAGCTCTTCTATAAAGGTCAATTCTGCCAGTTTCAAGCTTGCTTTACTCACAGTGGTGTTGGGAGATTTTAGCCACACTTCTGTAGATTTCCTATTATTAAATCTGTTGGTTTGATCACATCAATTCAGTTCCTTTGGACTTTGAACCAGCTGAGTGCAGAGAGCAGCTGAATCCTTTACCATAACAAAACAGCAAAGTGAATACCCCTGTGATGCCTTTGGCCTTCTGTTTGAATTCCAGAGATATTTGTAATACATGGTACAATCTTCATCCAAAGTTCTTTGGAAATGGAGAATCATTCTTTGGAAATGGAAGAATTTCCTGCTGTTGTGGTGCCACACCTGATTTTTGCACAGTTTCTGTGTAATTCCTGGTAATGTCACAACAGCACAGCCTCTCTCTTAGCAGTAAGAAGAATTGTGTTCTCTTCTGTCTGGATAGTTAATATGCATTTTTGGGAGTTGTGAAATGTGTCTCTGTGCATCATTCCAGGGTGGAAAAGCCCCTCTGTGTATTTAGCATTTGTGTGCTTGGTCTTAATGGTGCAGCAGAATCGCTGCAGCCAGATTTGTGAAATCGTTTG